ATATTTAGAAGAATCTCCCCAAAATCATCTTTCTTCAATCAATATGGTTCAAAACCTTTAATTTCTATTTTAAAAGAAAAAGAAATTAAACTTTCTTTCAAAATCACTCATCTTTTTGAAACAACAATCAATTTCTCCAAAGTTATCAAAGGATGATTTCGAAAATCATCTAGATCTTGCAAATATATATATATATATATATATAACTCTAAGAAAATCTCTACCTCAAGTATTGAAGAAGAATTGAGATGAAAGCCCAAAATCAACGATGCCTAAACTGGATCTCCACCGCACAGAACGAATCCCTCGAGATGATAACCAACTTTGATGAAGAACTTAGGTCTAAATCCCAATGGATTTGGAGAAATCAAAGAAAGAAGATGACTTCTAGAGAGAGAAGCTCTAGATCTAAAATTCTGGAGAGTTTGAGAGAGAGAGAGAGAGAGAGAGAGAGAACTAAAAAAGTGAGATGAAATATCAAATTCACGAACTGATATAACATGGTCTGCTCGAGCGTTGAAAGCTCCGCTTGAGCGTCAGACATAGCCTCCCGCTCGAGCGCGGAAAGCTCCATTCCAGCGTCGAATACACTTTTCCAGTACTTTTGCAGACATGTCAAACTTCTGGAACCAAACATTCTCCGCTCGAGCGCATAAACGGCCGCTCGAGCTGACAAGCAACTTCGAATGCATTTTGCATTTTTGCTTCGGGGGCAACTCCCCGCCTGGGCGCTGCCTCGAACCCGCCAAGGGATGCTGCCCCCTGGACCCCCGCGAGCTGACCGGGCAGCACGATCCCCGTCATAATCAGCGAAGTGGCAATCTTGAAAGCATTAGCATCACAAACTTTTCTGAAAGGCACAATTCGGGTTGGATTCGCATCTAAACTCTCATAACCTCACTGAAATAAAAAGTGCGAAAACAAATACAACTTAAAGGAGTTTTGTCAAACGGGATTGCCAAGAATAAAACCTAACAAAGGCAAATATGATATTAAAGTTTTAAATTTTGAAATTTTCACTATTTCGTACCCAAGAAAAGACACCCCCCACGGCCGCCGTGAATTTAGCCCAACATAAGTATGTACGTACTAAGTTCAATAGTTTTTTTGGCCCTAAAACAGCATAAAACAGGATAGTAAAACTCCATTTCCTTTTCTTAACCTCAATTTTCCTTATTCTCATCAACAAAACACAGAGCAAACCAAGGTATTGCACAAAATAGGCTACATATATAAGGTTGGTAATTTCTGTAAGACAAAATCTAAGTCATTTGTAATGTATTTCGGGCTAGTTGTACGGTTAGTAGGGCAGTTGCAGATGTTTGAAGAAGTGTTTGTAGTCTAAGTCTTGTGGGTGGACACGAAAATGAGTAAAGAAAGACATGAAGGCCTTCAAGGGAAATGAAAGAGCACATATGGTATCATCTTAATTGTTAATTTTCCAGAATTCATTTACATTTACATTTGATTAAAGAGTGCCATGAATTTGGTTGAGGTCATAGAAAAGATGACAAAACATAAAACTGAAACAGTATAATGAATAAAATAAAATTAATTAAGTGAATCAAACAAAACAAAACAATTATCATGTTGAGGAAAGCTTTCCAACCTTATCAATAAAAGATGCAGGGTAACATCGATATGTTTGCTCAAATGATGTTCCGTGATATCCATATCCATCAAAATACTGCAATGTGTCCCCACCAATGAAATGAAATGACAATGATAATGATATAAACAACAACTACAATAATATAGTAATTGTAATAGTTATTAACTATTATTTTTATTTTTATTGCAACATCTAATGAAATGAATTTAGACGGTGAACATAATTAAACAATATCTATATATATTGAAATAACTAAATATGCACTGATTTGGGCTGCAAAATATAGTAATTAATAGTGAAGCAATGAATATAATTCAAACATGTCCATAAACAAATAGTTATCAAATGGAAATTTACAGTAAGGGAAATGTAATACATATAGAAGTTGTATACATATTGTGCAAAAATCATAAAAGCATTAAACACAAAAGGGCAATTCTCTTTTTTATGCCAATCATAGTGGTTCCCCTCAGAGACCTGATAGACGTATCCTTACCCGTGGCCTTCCAGTACCTAGCCAGAGTCGCTCTGTTCAATCGCTGCCCATTCTGATACTTGCGATCTTTAGGACAGAAAAAGAACCACTCTTCATCGGTCGTCTTTATCCTCGATTTATCTGCATAAAAATAGATCAAAGCAAACCCAAAATTAGGGCTTTTTAATCAAGTATATATCAATAATCAAAGCAAAAAACCCAAAATTTTAATTTTTTTAATTCGGTGGGGTTTCAAAGACATGGGGTTCGATCTGGGAGGGAGAAAAGATGAAGAGTTACTGTCAGTGGAGTTCGGAGGCGACGCAACGATGGAAGCGGAGCGGCAGTGGAAAGGAGGGGGAGGGAGAGGAAGAGGGAGAGGAAGAGAGAGAGATCTGAGAAGTTGGAAAGAGAGAGAGAAAGAGAAGTGCAAATAATGTTTGGGTTTGTCGTTCGTGGGTGGGTGGGACGCTGCAGAGAGAGCGAGAGAGGGATTGTTTTGGGCGGGAATGCGAAAATGACACAAAGCATCTCAGCCTTTAAAGAATAAAAACAAATCATCTCAGCCATTGGATCAAAATGTATCTCACATATATTTTTATACATTTTCAAAAACCTTTCTCCCTTATTATATAGATACTTCCTCAAATGTATTTAACTTAGGAGCAAATAGTTTTGACACAAAAGAATGGGTAGAACCAGAATCAAACAATACACAAGCAGAATGACCATGAACCATAAATGTACCTGACACCACTGTCGCCGCCTTTTGTACATCTCCCGGAACCAACGCAAATACCCTACCTTGTCTCGCGGTGTCTTTGTTGTTAGTAGCTTTGACTGGTGCCTTGGTATTGCTAGTTGGTGCAAACCCCACTAAACTGGTAGCAGCCCTATTGCTATGTTGTTACTACTTTCTCTGAGGGTAATCCCTTATCACATGACCCGTCTTTTCACACTGAAAGCAGGCTCCAGACTTTCGATAACATATCCTGCGGTGTTTCTTCCCACACTCCACACATACAGGAATTGAATCTTGATTAGGGGTAGAAACATTTGAAGCCCCTGAATTTTGTTTCTTATTTGGTGGAGTAGTTGCCCCCTTCGACCATTGATTATTTTTCCTTTTCCCCTTCCATTCAGAAATTCGATTTTGTGCGGTAATATTCCCTTCTGCTATAACGACCCTCTCCAACACTTTTACATAGGTAGGCAGCTTCAACATATTAACTCAGTCCAAAATAGCACCCCGTAATCCCCCTTCGAATTTTCGTGCCTTCTTACAGTTTGTGTCCACCATGTGAGGTGCGAACAATAAAAATAAAAATAAAATAAAATAACTATTTTGTTTAGTCAAATTTTCAAATGGAGACTAATGGTATTGTTGTTAATAAAATAAAATACTATTTTGTTAATTTTTTTTATTTTCATTCTGCTACCAAACAATTTAGTAGCGAAAAGTAGGTCTACAGCGACTAAAAGGAATTTTGTCGCCGAAAGTTAACATTTGGCGACCAAAATTTTGGTCGGCAAAGATTAAAAATTAATTTTTTTTATTTTCATTCGGTTACCAAACAATTTAGTAGCCAAAAGTAGGTCTACAGCGACTAAAAGGAATTTTGTCGCTGAAACTTAACACTTGGCGACCAAAATGTTGGTCAGCAAAGATTAAAAATTAATTTTTTTATTTTCATTCGGCTACCAAATAATTTAGTAGCTAAAGGTACCTCTGCGGCTACTAAATTTTCTTTTAGTCGCCAATTGTGATATGTTTAGCTACTAAAAATTGTTTTAGTCGCCAATTGTAATATTTTTAGCTACTAAATTTTTTTAGTCGCCAATAATCAACATTCCCCTACTAAAAAAAATTAGTAGCTAAAAAGTTAACTTTTGGCGACTAATATTATTTTTGGTAGCCAATTCTGTGACTTTTGACGACTAAATTATTTTTGGTAGCCAAAAATGGTCGGCAAAAATGCATTTTCTTGTAGTGTAAGTTGGCTATTTTATGACTCGATCTGAGTAGTGATAGTAGTTGTGTTGCAATATTTCTTAAACTATAGCTCTCTTGGCTTTGCCTACCCTTGAGGGCTGTGCAAGGGATAGATTTTATGTTCTTCGGTTCACAAGTTTTTTGAGTGTGTTCATGGCCCCCATTAAGTTATTAATTATTGGTCCAATTCTTAATAATTTCCCTCAAATATAAACTTTGGATTCAAATGATGAAATTTGTTTACTACCCACAGTTCCTACTTCCTAGAGCAATCAATAAATGACTAATTAATACTTGTGTCGTAAAATTTATTCTTGTATTTGAAAAAGAATAATGAATTCAAAAGTAAATGTAATACTTAATAATCAAGAAATTCCATCAGCAACATTATAACTTCAGAGCCAAGGGCAAATACCATAACTACAAGATAGAATTTGTTCTTTCTTTCTAACTATAGGATGACAGAAATATTAAAGAAAAAATATGTATACTAAAAAAAAAAAAATGGACTTAATAACAAATTAATGCTGAAAACAAAATATATATAATTTGAAAATTATCTATTCTTTCTATAGATTAACAAGTGTTTCTTTCTATATAATAGATTGATTCATCTTCGCCCCCCCCAAACGCCCTTTTTCAAAACCCAACGATTCCAACTAAGTTGGCACTGAGGAGCTTGCCCAATCGTAATTAACAACACAAGATCAAGCAATTAATAAGACAAGTAAAGGAGTGTTAAAAAATTGTCCCATAAAGTTCAAAAGTCATACATCATCTTAGTCTAGAAGTTCACATATGATTCCAAAGGAAATTCACTTGAACAGATGCTACAAATTACACCTCAATACAACTCTTCTGTAATTAAATAAAGCACTCAAACTAAAACAAGTCCAATTATACTCTGCCCAAAACAAGTTAAGGCAATTGAAGAAGCAATTACAAAACTAAACCAAAATCAGCTAAAATAAGAAATTCATGTCTTTTTCCTCTATATGATGCACGTGTCAGACTTTAATTGTCTGATTAAGTGTATATTCATAAACTACAACAAAAGAGGTAGCTTACCCGGGAAAATAGCAAACAAAAGATGGCTTTGTTAGCATCAGTTTTGCTCTCCATAACATTTAGAGCCCTCATGGTAGTAGAATCTAATCTCACGTAGCTGTGAAGATAGTACTATCAAATACTATAACTTCCATAATTGCTCTCATCAGCAAGTAGTTCTGCATAAGATAGCAATGAACCCAAAGCCCCAAGTGCAAATTCAAACCCAGAAACATCCCTTGAGTGCCTGAATGTTAGAAAGTTACAATAAGCAAAAAGCCCTCGCTATCTATCATAGGGGAATAAGATGCAGACATTAACAAAATTGTGATAATCCAAAATAGATAGAATAATCTCCTAAAATGTTACCTTGTTGATAAGCCCAACTCAAAATGCAGAGCAAGTTAGCAACCACATTACTAGGAATAAAATTGAACAGTGAAAAAAACATTTTAAATGTGATTAGTTTTCCAAAGAGCAAGAATTAAAGAATAAAGTTGTCAACATAGAAGCAGAACTTACCTTGACAATTTTGATCTTATTCTCTTTACGAAATGGTCAGTTTATGGACATTTCAGAGCAAACCCAACTTCATACAAATACCAAGGTAATTAAATCAAAATGTTTACACTATGTTTGGATTGAGTGATTTGGAGAGAAAAGAAAAGAAATTGATTGATATGTATTTCTTTTATTTGTTTGGATAACCTAAGTAGAGAGAAATGGGAAAAAATAGAGAGAAATTGAGAGAAACTCATTTCTCTTATGAGCCTCATTTTCAATCTTCCCAAAAGTGGAAAGATTGGGAGAGAAAAGAAACCACTATTTTTATAATACCAATTTTTTCCCTATAAAAATAGAAGAAATAAAATGATTGAAAATATAAAAAGGTTATTTTGATAATATAATATAAAATAATTTATTTTCTTTTCTCTTAATGAAATCTAACCAAACAAGAATGAGAGAAATCACAATCATTTCTTTTCTTTTATTTCTTCCTTATCCAAACAAAAATGAGAGAAATCACAGTTATTTCTTTTCTTTTATTACATAAGCAATCATTTCTTTTATTTTCTCTCCTAGGTTCCCAAACATAGTGTTAATCTCAGATCATACTTTTTATAACACATTTAAAATAAATACTTGGTGCTTTTGATTGACTAGGAAATAAAGGTTTGAGAAGGGGTTTCAAAAATGGATTTTGCAGATATAAAGGTGAAGATGGGAAGAGTGGAGCAAACCATTTTCCCACTATATGAATGGCGGTAGCTGGGTTGACCGGGGGGTAGGTTTGTGTGAAGAAAGTACACGGATAGAAGAAGAAGAAAACCCTAGAGGCCGAAATTAGAGGAACAAAGATATATATATATATATATAGAGAGAGAGAGAGAGAGAGAGAGAGAGAGAGAAATCGAGAGGACATACGTACTCCAATGGTGGATCGTGACTGCGAGATAAGACGATATAGGCTGCTAGTTTGCGATCCTCGTGTGCGACGGGTGTTGACGTCGATGGTGCTCTGTACCGACGGTGATGGAGACAAAAGCGAGAGAGAGAATCGGAGGAGGGCAGATGTGAGAGACAGCGAGAGTCGTAGAGTGAGAGAGACAGACATGTTTTTAAGCCCTAAGACCATCTCCAACCCTGAACCAAATCTGACATCAAATTTAAAATTTGGTGAAAAAAGTATTTTTTCATGCTCCAACAGTTTCACCAAATTGATATCAAATCGAGATTTCACCAAACGTTTCACCAAAATGAGGACAGACTCCACATTTCATCAAAACACTGTGCATGACCGTTGGGGGAGACCAACCGGTCAACCACCCGGTCGATCACCAAAAGGTTCAAACAGTTCAAAAAAAAAGATCAAACAGTTGAAAAAAAAAAAATTTTTGCCTTACCAGTCGACTAGCCGGTTGACCAACCGGTCGATCACCAAAAGGTTCAAACAGTTCCAAAAAAAAGGTCAAACAGTTGAAAAAAAATAAAATAAAAAAATTTTGCCTTACCGGTCGACCAGCCGGTTGACCAACTGGTCGACCACTTAAAGGTTCAAAAAGTTCAAAAAATAAAAATAAAAACTAAATTTTTTTTTTTGTTTGGCTTAACCGGTTGACCACCTCAACCGATTATCCCGGCACAGATTTAATGAAAATTTGATGAAAATCAACCATTGGAGCACTCGGTATCAGATTGAGGAAAAAATCATTTTTTTACTCAAATTTGATGAAAACTTTGGTTCAGGGTTGGAGACGCTCTAACTCATTAGTATTTTTTTTCCCCAACTAACGTTTTTAGTTGCCAATAACAAAACATTTCTTTTCCAACCAAATACTTTAGTAGCGAATTAATTTAGAAATCCCTCCAAAATTTGAAGTCCAACATCCAAAACTTTAAATTATAATTGCCGACTAAAATTTAGTAGCTAAAAGTTAAGTAAATACCGACTAAATTTTTTGTAGTAGCTAAAGATTGCACATTTAGGGACCAATTTTTTTAAGTTGCCCAAAATGCTATTTTCAATGACCAAAACTCAATTAGTCGCCAAAAAATAAAATAAATACCGACAAGATTATTTTTTAGTAGCTAAAGATTGTATATTTTGGGACCATATTTTTTATTAGTCTCCCAAAAACCCTATTTTCAATGACTAACACTCGTCGCCAAAAGTAAAATAAATACCGACTAATTATTTTTAGTAGCTAATTATTATACATTTGCCGATCAAATATTTTTTAATAGCTAAAGTGTGTACAAGGTCGGCCCTGGGCATAGGCCCACCAGGCCATGGCCTAGGCCCCCTCAAAATAGACCAAAAAGAGGGGCCCCCTCCTATTATAATTTAGCATAATAAATTAGGTATGTTTTAAGTCCAAAAAAAAATTGAAGAAGCTCCAAACTAATTTAAAATAAATTGACCCATTCAAAAATTGTAGGGCCCATTCCAAAAAATTAGCATTATTATCCATTGACAATAGACCCAAAAAAGGGGCCTTCTTCCTATTATAGTTTAGTGTAATATATTAGATATGTTTTAAGTCCAAAAAAAATTAAGGAATGTTCAAACTAATTTAAAATAAATTGAATCATTAAAAAAATTGAAAAGCTCATTTAAAATAATTAGCATTGTTATCCATTAAAAATGATTTTGCAAAAAAAAAAGCTGGATTATGCAAGTATGATTGAGTTATTTGCTTTTAAAAATGTAAGAAGAGCGAAAATCAAACGATACTTATTAGTTGTTGTAATGTAATACTAAGTATTTTTTTGTAATTTTGACACAAATCTTTTGTTCTTGACCTTCAAAAAAAAAAATTTCATTCAATGAAAAAAAAAAATGTAAAGGGCCTTATAAATTTATTAGTTGATTATCGACTTTGGCCCCAGAAATCTCAAGGCCGACCCTGAGTGTATACCTTTGTCGATCAAATTATTTTTAGTAGCCAAAATATATACCTTCGGCGACTAAATTATTTTAATCAACATTTTTAGTTGCTAAAGATGTATTTTCCTCTAGTTCTAGTTGGATGAACATCTGGGGAGAATCCAAACCTTATTTATAATTGTTACAATATCATAACAAATTTATTGAGGTATAGATTATTGACTACTTAATAGTTTGTTATTTTTTCCCCACTCTAAAAAAAATAGTTTATTATTTTTTCATAAATTTGATTTCACTATTTTAACTTTTCATAAGTTATGCTCATTAAGACAATGGGCCAAAAAAGAATTTTTAATAAAATAGATTAAAATCGAGACTCTAATATGGATAGTATATTTAAGAAGATTGCAATATAAAACAGGAAATAGTTTTTGAATTGTAATTTAACACAAAATTTGTTGATCTTGCTTATGCTCTAAATGTGATACGATTTGCATAGGTCCTAGAGAAGCCATGTAATGACACATGTTTTTCGATTAGTTCAAGAAGGTTTTTAAATTCGCTGTAAAAAAACATATTCTTGCAGCCATTTCTCACATGATTTTTATTATTTTTACTTTTTTAAACATTGTGAGAGAGGGTGCTACAAATAATATTGGCTGAAGGTTTAATATTATTCAAGCATGTAGAAAGTATATATATATGTATATAGTGTGTATTTAAGAAAAAAATAACCATATGCAGTTTTGGAACGATATTTTAAAATTTTGTTATGTAATATTGAATTTTTTATTGTATTGAATTTGAAGATAATATTCAAGGCTCCAAGATGGGTCAAACCTGTTGCAAGACCTATTACAATATAAATGGGCTGCCCACGAGAATCCATTTGGGCCTCAAACAAAAACTACCCTTAATCTGTTACATACCCAGTAGGAGAGCACTATAATTATTGTTCCATACTCAAAAAATAAAAATTATAAAAAAAATTAAAATTTATAGATAAATGCCTAAACACTTAGTTGTCGTTTGGTAACACTTACGTTTTCAGTTTTCTGTTTATATTTACAAAAATTTTAAAAACTCAAATAAAAACTTGTTTGATAAAATTTTGGATTTATAAATCAGTGATCTCAGTTTATAAATTAGGCCAAAAAATGAAAACACAAAAAATGTGTTTCCATTTTGAGTTTTGAGTTTTTGTTTTTTTTTTACCACCTAACACTAGCCACCCCCCGCTACCATTTTCCACCACCGTCTTCCGCCACCCCCCCCCACCAGCCACCACCACCCACCATCCGCCACCACCACCCATTCGCTACTACTCACCACCCACCACTGTCACCCACTCACCCACCCACCCACCTGCCATAACCCACCATCACCACTTTCCACCACCATCTTCCACTGCCACTTGCCACCACTTGTCATTTCTCATTTTTTTTATATTTTTAAACATTTTGTCAATTGCCAAACGCGTTTGTACTTTATGTTTTTTTAAAAATAAACAAAAAATAAACAAAAATCAATTTATAAAATTTTTATAAATATAAACTGAAGACATAAACATTACCAAACACGCCCTGCGTAATCAACCTCACCATTTAAAAAACAAGTCGTCGCACCCTCATAAATAGAGTCTTTCTCAACTATTTAGAAGGAAAGTACATTTTCACCCCACCATCACCTGTGTGGCACAACATCATAGAATTTGATTATAAAATTAAATGCATAATATATATAAAGAGGTAAGGAAATTTTAAAATAAATTTACTACTAAATTTATTTATTAGATTTATATATATATATATATATTTATATTTAAATTAATTTTTTATTTGACTAAAATAATAATTTGAAAATTGAAATGACCATCACCACCCGCCACCTGCCGCCACCACCACCACCCACTCGCTACCACCCACCACCTGCTACCGTCACCCACCCACAAACCACCACCACCCGCCACCTACCCGCCATCCGCTACCCACCTGCTACCACCACCACCACCCGCCACTACCACCCACTCGCTACCACCCACCACCCGCCGCCGTCACCCACCCATCCACCACCACCAGCTACCCACCACCCACTGTCACCACTTTCCACCACCGTCTTTCGCTGCCATTTGCCACCACTTGCCATTTCTCACTCTTTTTTATATTTTAAATTTTTTTTTAAACATTTTGTCAATTATTACCAAACGCATTTGTAGTTTATGTTTTTTTAAAAATAAACAAAAGTAAACAAAAACCAGTTTATAAAATTTTTGTGAATATAAACTAAAAACGTAAACGTTACCAAACACATTTATGGATCAAATTTAATTTGAATATAACTCATATAATATTACTTGAATGTATGCCACACACTTCATTTTCTGAGGCAATTTTATAGATTTTTTGATTTTTCAATTGTAATATTATCTTAAAGCACAAATATAGATGTTCACTTCTATGAGGCTGGTTCAAAATGACAGCCCAATTAAGAGTTCTTACAACAATAATAGGCTTCGAGAGTTGAAATTCTACTATCAGTGACAAGATAGAGAGAAAGTAGTCACAGGAAACTGTTGTATTGCATTGAATGAAATAAAAAAATTTCATTTTATTCTTTATTGAGATCTTAAAAATACACTTCGTTCAATACCCTATGTTGTGTATAGTATGGAAAAACCAAATAACAAAGCAATAACGAACATATGAATTGATCAAATACAACATAATTAGAGGCCAGAAATAAATGGCACACTGGTAGAAGGCAACCATGACTGACCAGCTATAAAATTTGCAACACTAAACTGTGATGCTTCAGTTGCGCTAGATATGACTTGACAACCACCCCACTTTACTCTTCCACTAGTCGAAGAACCAAGGCTAGAGTTTTTATATTCTCCATAATACAGAGTATTTAAAGCAAGGTTACCATCTCATTCTAACTAGCCTGTTGGATCAACCAATGTGTCAAGGTAAGTTTGTAGATAAACAGTACGCGAATATTCCATCCAAGGCCTTCCTAGATATGTCTTGAATGAGCTAAGTACCGGTTTTAGGTCGGATGAAGCCATGACTTGGGAATTATGAATTGAAATGCCAGTATTTTGGTTAGGGTCAGTTCGCCCTTGTGCTGTTACAGTATTTTGTTGCCCACTCATTGATTTTCTAGCATATATCATGCAATTTTGGAGAACTACCACTGCATTTCCAAATATGAAATCTATCGTGCCATAAATA